ATTTATATAAAATAAAATACATAGAAAAATATAACTAACATGTCTAATATATCAACTATATCAACTATATCAACTATGTCAAATATGTCAAATATGTCTGACATATCATATATGTCAGTTATGTCAAATCAGTCAATCTTCTGCACTACATGAACTGCATCACATTTATCCATTCACAGTATATAACAAAATCTAATCACTGAGGTATAAATATATTTTTTAATATATAAAAGAATCTAACCAACTGAAGTGTGAATATATTCTATAGTATATAAAAAAACCATTAACTTACTGAGATAACTATTAGGTTATTACATAAACTTTAAAAGAATTACTATTCGAACACCCTATCTAACAGTCATAATTTGACAGAATTGCATGTTAACAGTATTATAAATATATATTTCTTTTTCTCTATATTTTAGAAAATAATTATTACCAATAAATCTAATTATAGGTAATTCAAAATTATCTATTATTATATATTTTTATTTTAGCTTTTTTTTAATAGGTTCATAAATTTTAGGACTACATGTTATTTATTTTAAGAAATTACTTATATATTTTTAATTAAATTATGAATTAATTATAATTTATAATTTTATAATTATTATATAACTTTAATTTTTTATAAATAAGAAAAAAATTAATAATTAAAATATCAAAAAGCCAAAAATAGTAATATTATATTATAAATTATTAATTGTATTGAATAATAATTATGTAATTGATCAATTATATTAATATTTTTATATGATAATTATAATCATTAATTTTTAGTATAAATAAAATATTGTAAGCAGATTTTTTTTAATATTAAATTAACTTTTTTACTATTTGTAATAATTTTTTGTATTTTCTTTTAACTTTATTAATTTTATTTTCATTTTCATCAATATGTATTATTATTAACATTTATTATAAAATCATTATTAATTTAAAGTAATAATAAAATATTATCTACTATTATACTTTTTAAAAATTCTATTTTAAATCTTTTTTTCTTTTTCTTTTTTCAAATAATATAAAATTTTACTATAATTATACAAATTATTTCACATGTTTCATAATTATTATTTTTAAAAAAAATTAACAGTTTAATACTTAAAAAATAATTGTCTATAAATATAATAAATATTTTATTTTTTGGTAATTTCTTTAGTTTTTATTGCAAAATAATCATATTTATTATTTGATCTGAAAGTCAGTAGATATTTCAGGTTAAATTAATTTATTATTTGATTTGACTTGATCTAAAAAATATAAATCAGGTCAATAGAATAATTAATCATTCAAAAAGAATAATTTATTATCATTTTAATTAAATAATATATTATTTTTTTTTTAAATGATTTATCATTATTCAATTAAAATGATTTTATTGATCTACTTAAATTTTTTAAGTCAAATAAGTTAGATTAAAATAGATTATCTAATCTGACCTGATTTAAAGAAATATTAGTTTAGATTAATCAGAAGTTTAATATCAATCTTAATATATAAAATAATTTTATAAAATAAAAATAATAATATTTTTTAATAATAAAAATCTGTTTATATATTAAAAATTTTTATTATTAAAAATAACAGGTTTATTATTACATAATAATAAATTATTATTTGTATATTAAAATAATAAAATTGGTTTTATATATTAATAGTAATTTTTATTATTTTAAATAATAAAAATCTAATATATGATTATTAAATCTAAACATATGTGTAGAAAATATAAATTATAAATATTTATATTAATTAAGATTATTTATCTAAACCCATTTTTGATTTGAAAAAAAATCTAAACCTTTAATTTTGTTAATTTTTTACTAAAGATTTTAATATAAATTTGCTAATTTTATATTTTGATATAATTTTACTTTTTTGCAGATTTGTTAATAAAATTTTAATAAAATTTTACAATTTTATCTTTTATCATTTAGATAACTTCCAAAATCTTTAAGTTTTATCTAAAAACCTTAATACTAATAATATATATATACAAATTCTACACAAAAAAAAATATATAAAATTTTACTAATTATATATATATACATATATGATTATATTAATAAAATAAATAATTCTATTGCTTTATTAAACTAATATTAATCTAATTTTATTTATTTAAAGATTTATTATTTAACTTATAATCATTTCTTTACTCTTATAATAAATAATTCATCTGATAGATTTTTAAATTCTTTGATTATGCATATATTTAAAATAAATTATTATGAAATTTCCGGAACCTGATTTTTCTAGCAATCAACCCAAATGTTCTAGCGTTAAATCTAATTGATTGTGATATTTAAACGATAAAATGAAAAGAAGCTTTAAATTCAAACTTTATATATTTACAAAGTTGGCATATAAAAAGATAGTTTTTTTTTTTTTTTATGAGCAAGTTTGAATTTTTACAATTTTTGTTATTTCAGAAAGATTAACGAGTTGTCAAATGAGAATAAGAATTATGGATAAATATCACTATTCCAAATTTGATAAACTTTTTCACTTAAAGATGTGCCAATCTTTCTTCTACGAACCATATTTCCACCAATTTCCATAAGCATTTTCTTTTTTGCTTCTTCGTTGTTCAAAGAATTATAAGCTTCAAATAAATGATGTGGCGTCGAATAAACCTTTGCAATCTCCGCGGCCTTTTCGACACTTATTCCTCTAACAGTCATTAATAACTTTACAAAAGTATCTTTCAATGTCAAACTCCTACTTTTACTATTAAGTTCAGAATATGAAGCATATGAGACATGGAACGTACGATCTGCATAAATAGTGGCAAGGTGTTGTTTCAAATCCAAGAAGTTTTTACGATAAATAGCACCATCTGGAATAGAATACAAGGTGGTATTCTAGAAAAATACATTATAAAAGGTATTGAAATTTATGTAATAGATGAATTTGACGGAAGAATAAAATAAAATCGAGCAATATTGACCTCATATAATTTCTTTAGCATATTTGTCATCCTGACCAGGTAATCGATACTTTGATCGATTGTGCTCGTACGTTTTAAAAAGAAACCATTCAGTACTTGAGTAGATGACATCGCAGACTTAATAGCATCCATTCCAAATTCTGCAACTTCTTTCATATTATAATCTTCAATTAGATAAATTATTTGCCCCATACCAGATCTTGATAGACGAAATTTTTGTTCTCTGAATCGTCCATCTTTTATACTACCAACCAAGTCGTCCATCCTTTTCCTTTCTATAACATAGTCTAAGACAAGTTCTTGCTGTGACAAACCGTTACACTTTCGTGCCACCCAAATTACATCACCAAGTTCCAAATTTCTAACTGATATTTCTAGACCTTTTTGTTGTAAGGAGTCTTGAATATAATCTCGATCCTTTTTTAATTTCACTTCCCTATTATCTAAAACTAAAATTACTTCAAAAGTGCCAGGTGCCCATTCTATTGGCTTGAGGTTAGAAAACGCATTTAATTCGTTATTAGATAATGATGTTGAAGTTGATGGTTCTATTATTGATTGATTTTTATATTGGTAACTGATACCAATTTGAACAGGATCATCCACCAAATTTATAATTGTTTTCGAATTAGAAAAATTTTCATTTGTGGAAAGTGATAATTCACGATCAATACATTTTTTAGCTTCAAGTTGATCAAAATCAAAACCTGGGAAGATTAATTTGCCTTGTGATTTGACGGTCTGTATCATTTGTTTTGCGATCTTGAGCCCAGATTCGGTTAATGAAAATCTTACAGGATAACCATTTTTGTAAACATAATCCTTATCCAATAAAGTTTTCATACAATTCCAAGCTGTATAATATTTTTGATTGGCAATTGGCATATCAAAAGAAGCATCACAATAATTTTGTGCCTCCTTTATGAGTTCTGATTTTGTCACTGAAGGTGTTGACTCTAATTCACAATATTTGTAAAGTGCCAACATAATGGCGTAAGCTCCGGAGCGATATTGTGGAACGTATGTTTTAGATGTGGTTATTTTCTTTTGATTTTTCGATTCATTTTCAATAGAAGTGAATTCTTTTGTTCCCTCATCTATTATTAGATGGTAGGAAAGAAAATAAATTTGAAAAACCAATTCAGAATTATTGATCTTACAATTAACATGGTTTCATTAACATTTACAAATTACCAGGTCGCGAAGGCATGGGTTGGCTATTTTCTTTACAATGCTGATTTAGTTTTCTTTCTAATTTTTGTATTAATGTAGGTCCAATACCATTCAAAATGGTAGCTTCAGCCGGATGTTGAAAAGGTATAGGATATTTCTCCACTGACTCATATGCCTATATAATTAACGAAGAATAAACAAGGGATATTCTGAACGATACATGAAATTCCAAGAATTTCGAAACCTTCTTATAGACGTAATAACTTTTATTATTTTTGGCGGCCTTAGCCTCTTGCATCCACTCTTTTAACCATTCTGAATATAAAGGATTTCCGCAAGGAGGTACTTTATGTTTTGGTGGCATTGGAAAATTTCGAAACGCGCACGTAATAAAAATAGAGTGTTACTTTTCAGTTAGTTTGATTGTTAATGAGATTTCTATTGGCAGATCAAAAGTAAACAAAATAGGCTGATTTAGCCCAATCGTATGACTAAAGATATCATCCGATAATTATCGCATGAGAAGTTAGATTTAAAAAAGAAATAAAAAAGCAATGTTTTTTATCAATAAATTTTTATCGTTATATAATAAAAATAAAAAAAAATATTAAAATGATGGAAAGCGAACATTTACCTGAAATCAAAACAAGTAATAATAAAGATAATGTAAAGAAAGAAAGTACATCAACTCAAGAATTACAACTTCCTCATGTTTTCAAGTTATATCTTGTGGATGTAGAAAAAGTGAGTCACATTTTTTTTTTTTTTAAAAAAAAAAATTTTATTTTCCTTCTATTCACATAATAATCCCTTTTTCAATTAGTCATTAATTCAAGCATGGGAGGAAGAATTAACAAAAATTTCAGAAAAATTCACATCAACGAATTCAACTAAACGTTTAACGGTACAAGTTTGTAATAGTACATTTCAAACATTATTACAAACAAATCAGGTTGATTGTATGGTATCGCCAGCAAATTCATTTGGATTAATGGATGGAGGATTAGATTATTATATAACCGAATATTATGGTGGAGTCGATGAATTGATTCCCGTTGTACAAAAAGAAATTGAAAAGGAATGGTGTGGGGAACAAAATGTTGGTACTTGTACGCTAGTTGATTTACGTGATTTAATTAAAAAATTAAAAGAAAATCATCCAGATTTGTCAAAACAGGACAAGTTTCCAGGTTATTTGGCCCATTGCCCAACCATGAGAACTCCAAAATCATTAGATTCTCATGATGATATTGTTTACAGATGTACTTGGGCCATGTTAACTTCCATTCGTAAACATAATGCGAACGTATTGGAAAATCCTAATGGAAATCATGAACGTATAAATAGTGTTATTTGTGCTGGATTTGGTACTGGAGTTGGCGGTTTTTCGGAAATTACTTGTGCTAAACAAATGATGTTGGCTATAAAGCATTTTGTTGAAGCTCCTGTAAATAATGAAACTAAGAGAATTAATGATCATGAAGGTTGGGGTGGTAATTGGCTAATACAATGGTCCTATGCAAGAAAAATTGAAAGTTCTGTAAATTCTGCTCAATTTCGTAAAGGTCATTATTAAAAAAAAAAAAAAATAAAGTGCTTGTTGCTTAATTCGGAATTATAAAGAATTTCACATCTAAAATGTCACGCAAATTAAAAATCGACTAACCAAAAACGGCTTTTAATTTCATTTTATTAAATATATATATTTTTTTAATATATACTTAAAAATATGGATTCTTCAGAACAATCAATTCAGCAGGAACAAACCTCGGAGAAAATTAGTAAGGAAGCAATAGCATATAAATTTTGGCAAAAATTTCAAAAGGAGCGTGAAGGTATAATAATAATAATAATAATAATAATACCTTTTCCACTTGAAAAAAAAGTTTTTTTTTTTTTTTAATATAAATTTAAATAATTTAGAAATACAAAATTCAATCAACGATCTCTATACAAAATCCAAATCATCAATTCCAAAATTATGTGAAGAAATCCTAGTTAGAATTAATACATTAGAAAGAAAAGCTACTGATGCTACAATTTATTTGCCTGGTTATGATCAAAGACAATTAATTTTGGTATGTAATAAGGAAGAATTTTGTTTTTTTTTTTTTATTTGGATACTTATTTATTTGTTATTATTATTTAGCAAATTAGAGCATTGGTTATAGAACTAAATACGAAAAAGACAGAAATAGTACCAAAAAGTAAATTTACGTTTAAATCAAGGAAACCTGTTTTTACAAACGGAAGTGGAGAGAAAGGAACCAAAACGGAAGAGAGAAATACTTCAACTACGATAACTTCCAACAACACCTCTTCAATTATCAACGAAAATTTTCAAATAGTCACATTAAACAATAAGCAAAATGTTTACTTAACAATAAATTCTTATTTGTCCTCTCCAAATGATTCAAAAAAAATAATCGATTTTCATATTTCAAATTTACAAAGTTGTTTTATTAATCTCGTATGTAAAAATGTTATTATAGGTGCTATACATATTAAAGGTTTAAAAGATTGTGTAATTATTGCCGGTCCTGTTGGAAGTTCGATTTTAATTAATGATTGTGAAAATTGTGTTCTTGTTGTCGCTTGTCATCAGGTAAATAATACTAGATTTATATCTTTCGTAATTTTTTTTTTTTATTCAGTCATTCAGAAAATTTATAACTAACATAATTAAATTAAAAGTTTCGAATGCATACTTCAAAACAAATGAATGTATATCTTCATGTAACAAGTTATCCCATTATTGAAGATTGTAATAGCATAAAATTTGCTCCGTACACTTTATCAATTCCTGGTTTAGATAAAATGTTTGAGGTAAATGTTTTAAATCAATTTTTCGAAAATATTTTAAAATTAATGTTTATTAATCCTTTTGAAATTATTATTACACTCGATAGGCTGCTAAATTGGATCAAAATAATAATAAATATAATAAAGTTGAAGATTTTAATTGGTTAAGGCAACAAGCATCACCAAATTGGAATTTATTAGATGAAAAATGTTTAAGAAAAGATTGGCCTTTAATAGGTGATGATGAAAGAGAGAGAGTTGTTAGTGAAGATGAATTAAAGATTACTTTAAATGAAATTTTGGAAAATAAACAATGTGTTTAATCTAAAATATTAATTTTTAATAATAAAGCAATTTTCTTGTAATATTAAAAGTAATTTAGATTTAAAAAAATTCAATTTATTTTACCTAAATCATTAAATTAGCATTTTTTAATTTTTTTTTTTTTTAAATTATTTTATTTATTAATCAAATTAGATCATAGTTATAAGTTAAAATCCTATAATAAATATTAATATATAAAAAAATATATATATTTAGATAGAATTATTAATTATTATATTTATTATATTTTAATAAGTTTAATATTTTTTATTAGTTTTTAAATTTAATTAAATTTCCTTGCATTATATAATAAGAAATTTATTATTAACTGTTAATCAGTTACAAATTTAACTTTAACAAATTATACATGATTTTTGATGGATTCACCTTGATATTTCATTAAAATATTAATCATGTTTCGCAACACCATGTTGCATTATGTTGAAAAACAATAGGTGGATAGCCACTGTGGATAAGATGATGTGCCATAATTGAACGACCAACATGCCCATTACCATCAATAAATGGATGAATATGAAGAAAGGTTGAAAATACACGTAATGCAATAATAAGAGGGTGAAGATCATTATTATGATGTACTCATCACGAAATTGTATGAACCTCTTCATCAATGGAGGCACTTCTTCTAGGTACTACAAAGAGCACGAAATAAGAATCTCGATAGAATCTCACCAGAATAAACTAGAACTTACCAGATAAACAGTCTCGTGTACATCATTTGCCACTACCCCTACTTTCCAAAATTCTCCTACATTTTGAATGTCATCGTCTTCAAATCCATATGTCTCCACCGGTATATCACTTAACATGATTTTATGAACATTTTTTATATCATCAAGGTTAATTTCACGCTCTAATTTAACAAATAATTAATAAAATAAGTTGCAAGCAAATGGTTTCGAATTTCTATGACTTCATTTTCTGGCTTGTCATAAAAAAATTTCGGTGCAAGTAATGGCACTCCTCGATTTTTCAGAAAGCGATCCAAGTCATAGTTCTTGTTCAGCAACTTTCAAATTTCTCGCATTTCTACTAGTATCAACTTGTTCCCTTTTATAGCACAACTTGAGTGTGAAAAATTTGCGGTATTACGTTGTAAAATGTTCACAGGTGGTATCTTTATAGATGCTTTAAGATTATCGATTCCTTTTAACAAATCTTTTAATCTTACTTGGTAGTCTTTTAATAAGAAGATATATTAGCATTTCGAGGTGAAATTTGCAAGAACATAAAATTCGCGAATCATACTATAATCCCGTGCCATAAACTCAAACGGACGAAAATAATTTTCCTATAACTTTTCAGATTCAAGCAGTTCGGTTAATCCTAGACCTTTATTAAATTCATAAAGAGAAGCGTAAATTTGTAAATGAAATGAATAAAGAAATTGACATATTTTTCATGTATAAAGTGATTATAAAATAAAGTAAAAGGACCTTTTTAAGTAGCATAAGTCTGTCAGCTTCTTGTTCAGGACTAAAGTCTTGAAAATTTATGTTTGACGAGAATAATAAGCGGAGCTGATTCTTACGAGCATTGTAGGAGAAAGAAGACTTCGTCAAAGGAAATCTATTCATAGTTGTGAAAATTTTCTAAGTAAGTTTCTCTCGAACCTAAAGTATTAGGAAAACAGAAACCGTTGAAGTCTATCGCGTTATTTAATTTTGATAAAAAATTAACAGTTTTATCATTATCAGTGGTACAAAAGAATATCGCGTACACAGATTATTTTTATATTAAAAAATTTCGTATAACTATAATTAAGTTACTTTACTCTATATCCTTAACAAAAAAAAATAATTAAAATCTGATATATCACAAATTTACGATAAGTGATTCAATTTTAAATGTTTTATCTCATGTTATCTCATAATAAGCTAAATTAGAGCATCATCAATCGAAATTTTGGTCTTTTTACCGAAAAATAAAAGTTGTGATTGCGCTATCTAATTACTCTGTATTTCTTCATCTTGACCAGTTTCGTAAGTTTTGATTCGCATCTGCGCTTCCTCTCTCTTACTTACTGGTTATAAAAAGGGCTCAAATGAGCGAATTTTTGTTTCCTATTGATGACTTAAATACCATTTAAATTGCCAATCTATTAAAATGTTCCGGAGGAGTAGCATATAGCGATTGATGTAATTTAATTAACAACAAAAAAAACAATGAAATCGATCCAACGTTTTTTTTTTATTTTATCCCCAAAACTTAAGTTTCAAACTTATCAGAATTTGTATCACGAATGGAATATTTTTGTGAGCCGAAAGTGGTTAATGGCTTTTTACATTTGTTTTTAAACGCAATAAAGGATTCTCGTTAAATGATTTATCTTTTTACGAAAAGGATTAAATTAAAATTTTTTTTAAAAACTCGTTTTGTGATAAGCACGTGTACATTAAACCTTTGATCATACCACACAGGAAATTTTAATTTTGTATGGTGGACTGAGTCAGCTTGTAAGATTTTAAGATTCCCTTTAATATAAATAATGAAATATGAAAAGATTTGGTGGAAAGATTGATAAATTGATGAATGCTAACCCAAATTTTATCCTAGAAAAAGAATTCAGTAATTACCTGATTCTCTAAAATACAATTCTCAAAAAAAGGTGAGGGATTAATAACTATAGCATACTGCATAAATATATGACACGTGTCAAATGTCTCTTGTGAATTCGGTTGTATTCCGGTTTGAACATATTTTTTCTGCATTCATTAGTATTTATCTCATATAGTGTAAATTTAATAAAGTAAATGAATGTTTAAACATTTTAATTAACTTGTTAAATTTTAATTTATTTATTACTTTCAAATCACAAAATCTTATTTTAACAACTATGTAAACTGAAAATTGATTCATAATAACAGTTATGTAACGTAACAAAAAAAGAAAAAAAAAACTGAAATTTCTAAATATTATGTAATTTGTTTGAGAAGGTCCAAAAAAAAATAGAAATTTTCCAAGGATCACATGTATATAAAAATCTCTTTCAAGAACAATTACAATGCTAACTATTGTCAAAAAATAAGTAAAAATGTGTCAATAATAGTTGGAGGTAAATTTTTTTTCCAAAATTAAAAAAAGCCTAAAATTTATATTTTATTTCAAAGATGATTGGCAGCTTCAGCAAGAAATAATCCAAAGCAATGCAAATGAGTTTCTCCATAAAATAATCCAGAAATCATAATTGCCCTAAAATAGTCCTGACTTAAAATCTAATGGAAAATCTTAAAGCAATTGATTGTTAAGGGCAATGTAAAATGCCAAATGTCAAAAAATTTTCAGATATGACGGAGGAATAAAATGCATTTCCAGAAACTGTTTTAATGAATCTCTCAGTTCAATGAAGTGTGAAGTTTTGAGCTTTTTTTGTGTAATGAGTAATGGCAAAAAAAAATACTTAAAAATCTGCCAACTTTCAATTTATCTCTCTCTCATTTTATTTAACATAAACAACATATTATTATGTTTTTTTTATTAATTTTTACTTTATAGTAATAACTATATATAATTTATAAATTTTATTTAATTAATTTACAAATTTTTAAAACCATGACCTAAAAATAGTTTTATACTTTAATCACTTATACTAGACTGATTCTTCATTTTATTTGTTAGTAGCATTAGCGCATAATCAGAAAATTTTTAAAATCGTCCATTTTTATGTTTAAATTAAAAAAAAAAGCGCACATGAGTAATTTCCGCGGTTTACTACTCCCTAAGGAACAGCCAGAACCAATGAACCACTTAAATGCTCTAGATTTTTTAGGATATACAGTCAACTCTTTCTACAACGAATTTTGATATAACGAATTTTACAATACAACGGATTTTCAGTATCAGACAGATTTTTAAATATAAAAAAACCCTTACTATACCGAATTTAGTAATTAAAA